TGGGCTGTGGGCTGTGGGCTGTGGGCTGGGCTGGGCTGGGCTGGGCCGGGCTGGGCTGGGCTGGGCTGGGCTGTGCTGAGGGTTTATATGGGTGCCAATAAGTTTTGACCGAAACGTTTTGACTGAAAGTTTTTTTTGGAACCAGAATTTTCAACTGGGTAACTGCCGGGCTGTGGGCTGGGCTGTGGCCGGCTGTCGCGGTCTTCAGTACATCAGGAAGGCGACTGGACAGTCCGACAATGTGCGCAGACCCCCTTGCAAAGCCCCGGCTGGAACGTGGCGGGCGGCTTGTGGTGCTGTGTTAACGGGTGCCTCGTGCTTGTCGCAGTGTTGGGTGCTGCGGCTGTGAAAAGGCAAGGGTCCTTCCAAGCCCCGCACGCGTCTCAGAGTAGCCTGTGCAGGACGGGGTCTGTTAGATGCTGTCTTTTCTAGAAAGCCCTAGAGGTCTGCGAGGTTCTCAACCGTATGCCGGAATACGTCCGGACCTCGGCAGGAAGCGTGTGTGCTCGTAGGATACACTCCATCCTGTCGCATAAAGATCTAATTGACGGCTTTGTGTCTTCATAATGTCACTCCTTAGCTGAGACAATAGGCCGAGCCGCAACAGGCGACGCAGGACGCAAACTTCTCAGTGAGATTGCGTGAGCACTAGGTGTCGCTTTGTTCTATCATGTATGTTTGCCGTGTTTTGAGGCACGCTTCATGAGACGGTCTGCAGGGCGAGGCCTGGACGAGCGCTGAATTAGGTATGAAAACTATGCGACTGCGTGCAGGGCTCGTGAAGCCCAATCCGGAGGACCTTTCCCATATTATGACATCCGGAGAAGTATCTATGGAGCATGTCTGTGACCCTGACATACTCTGCAGGATGAGACTCCCAAGCCGCACGCCAACTATGGCGTGCGTCCTTCCGTCTTTGGCTTGGCTCTGGTTTTTGCTGGCTTCGGGTCGCATGTTGTTGATACCTACAGGTCGTGGGCCGGAGGACGAACTTCCATGCCCGGAGCATGTGCCTGAGGTTGAGTGAGCTTGGAATCGTTGTGAGGCAGGTGGCCTGCGCACGCAATTCGTGCGCGCGCGGAGGGAGTGGCCAGCTCAAGACGTTTCTTGTCCGGCAATGAGGGACAATACGCAATTGAATAGTAGACTTAGGTACGGATGCTACCGGGGCGTAAAAAGCTCAGTGGGGCGGTTGTGTCGCCAGACCGTTGCTTACTCGAGTTGTGGTGCGAGTCAGGGCGTGTTTCTCTCGCGAAAAGCCTTCCCCCCGGCTATGTGCGTGTCTGCAAGCGTTTGTATATACATATATATACATATATATATATATGATATGATATGTGTGTTTGTGCATCTGTTCGTGTCCGTGCGTTGATATCCGCCTGTAGTAATTAAGGCATTCCGGTGTCGCATGGAATGCCTCCTTGATATGAGAAGATGAACAAGAAGGTGCACACTGAAGAGGGCAACACTGCTCTGTTACGGCCTCAATACGGATGGTCTTGGTGTGTCTCCATTCGTGTCCTCCTATCACGCGTCTTTCATGTCCTTCCGGTCACATGTCTTGCTAGCTGGCTTATTTTTGTCGCTAGACAGCCCTACGTTGCGAACGTTTGCAACAATCTGAGGCCGCCTGCCCAAGGAGTCATCCGAGATGCTACGGATGATGAAATCGAGGCTGCAGTGAATGTGTGCGGTGCCTTTGCCCTGTCATGACTACCTGATGGTGGTGTGTCTTGCGCGTCGCCTTGGAGGCCCACGTACCGACGGAGTCCACCGAGGTGGTCGCTTGGATGGGGCTGGCTGGCTGGCTGGGCTGGGGCGGGCTGGGGGCTGGGCTGGCTGGGCTGGGGGCTGGGCTGGCTGGCTGGGGACTGGGGGTGGGCTGGGCGGGCTAGGTTGGGCTGGGCTGGGCTGGCTAATTCGCAAATGAAACGGAAATTGATTTATTCGAAAATGGCAACGTTGTGTTTCGACCGAAAATCTGAGCGTTCGAATGGCCAACAGCAACAAGCATTTTCTATTTATTTCTGTCCTGAGGGTTTAGGGTTCCGGTTTGTAGGGTTTAGGGTTTAGGGTTCAGGGTTTAGGGTTTAGGGTTTTAGGGTTTGGGGTTTAGGGAGTTATTTAAGTTACCATAATAGGGATCTATAGTCAATAATATGATTTCCTTATAATGGCAACTTAAATCAAATGCCCTAACAAGAGCCCAGCAGGGGGCAGGTTTGGGCCCAGGGTTCCGTGCATGAATGGTGGACCTGAAGCCGGCCCGACGGTTTGGGGTTTAGGGATTAGGGTTTAGGGATTAGGGTCTAGGGTTTAGGGTGTAGGGACTAGGGTTTAGGATTTGGGGTTCATCCGAAAACATAGGAAAAACAGCAATGAAGCAACGCTCGTGACGGTTTCTTTACTGATGCTTTCCATGACGGTGGTGGCGATAAGGCTGACGACGATGACGACTACTACTGTTGATGATATAAATCCTGCATGACTTTCAAGACCTTAAACTATGGGAATTATGGCAGATTCCTTATTATGGGTCATGCAGGATTTCTATCATCAACCGCACCACGACGCCCGGATGGATGGCGCGGATGGTGCTGCTGGCGTTGATGTCTAGGTCCCTGAGTAGTAGCCTTTTTGCCCTTTTTGATTTTGGGGCCCCCTCACTGAAACCGAATAGTAGGAAAAAGGGTACCCTTGTTATAAAGAGGCTACTCAGGAACCAAGATGTTGATACTGAGATCGAAGGTGGTGCAAAAACAGCTGTGCCTGGATTCGATGCCGGTGCTAGCACTGATTATAGTCACTGACGTGGGTGCACTGACTTCATTGGTCAATACCAACATGGGCGTGATCATGATGGGGGACTTTCTCGCCGTGGTCATCGTCATCGTCGTGATTTGTATTTCTCGTCATCATTGTCAAGACCATGATCCCCCGCCATGGTTTGCACTTCGTGATAGGGGATGCCCACGGTCAGAATATGCAGGGTTCCCTTTGAAGAACATCGTTTGCTTGTGGCGAGGAGATCGCCGGCAAGCCTAGGCCTAAACTTCGAGTTGGATTGTGTTTGATTCATCGTAGTAATACCGTCCTTACTAAGGCCGTCCCTCATACCCTTGTGTACATGATGGACACCTGGACCGTATTCTAACCCTCTTCTAGTTGAAGATGCAGGATGTTAGTAGATTTTTCGGTGCGTAGCCAGGTCCTCTTTTGCAAGCATGCGGACAGTCTTCGTCTGCAGCTGATTTTCTGTCCAATCTTACTGTAATTTTAATTGATACAAGCCTGACTGGTTCCTTAGGGCTCCTTATCCTCATTCTACTAGATTCGTTATGTTTATTATCAGTAGTTATACTCCCTCAAAATGTAGGAGTCTCATTTCCGTGGATTTCAGAGTTTCTGAGCTTGGCTGTTGGAGTAGCGAAAAGAGTGCTAGGTCTAGAGTTTCAGGAGTCATCGCTTTAGGGGTTTAGGGCTTAGGGAAGTTTAGGGTTTAGGGCTTCAGGGGTTCAGGGTTTAGGGTTTTGAGGAATTGTAGAGGCTTTAAGGGACCTCCAAAGCTCTCTTTATTGAGAGGTCCAACTCCAAAGCTCTCTTTATTCAGGGGTCCATCTTGGACTGTGTTTAGTCTTGACCTATGTTAATAAAAGGTGCTCCTTTAGAATCACGCTTGCCTCTGCTTTTTGTATAAGTGCATATTTACAGGAGTTATCCCAAACACGCTTGCTAGAGGGCCTCCAACAAGAGCCTAGCTTAAGTGTGTCATCTAGCATGATGAACCCTGAGGCCTCTTGCAAGTGTGCAACTTCACTCAGAGAGCCCTATACGGTATAGGGTTTAGAGTTTAGGGTTTAGGGGCTCAGGTATAGGCTATACCCCTTAAGTAATGAATATGGTATATTCCTTCATTAAGGGGTACCGGGCTCTCTAGGCAAAGGCCTTAACAAACCCAGAAGACCAAGAACGTTTGCGCGGGCCGCAGCTGTTTTCCAGCCCAGCTGTCAACGCCGAGCGGTGCCGGCCGCCATGCAATCCCTGCACCTGCTGCGGGCAGCTCCCACGATAATCATCACTTCACACTACACCCTAAACCCATATAGCTAAACCCTAAACCCTAAACCCACATAGCCTCAAACCCAAACACCCTCAACCGCTAAACCCTAAACCTTGCAGTCCAAGCCTGAATGACGCTTAGCTGCACGCAAAATGATTCCAACTTCGAGGCAGACCCCAATTACCCTAAGCGTCCAAAGCACCCAACAGTTGTTGGGGGGCACTAGGTCTTTTCTACGCTGCGCCATGTTCAAGGACGCAGCAAGCAAGATCCGAAAACAGCGCAGCGCTGCCGACGCCTTCGTCACTGCCACCGAGGGTGTTTCCTGGCGGGTTCTGGCTGGCCGAGGGCAAAAAAAGGGCGAAATGACTAGCAATACCCTTTCAACGTAGTCCCATTATGCAATAATTTCAGTAGCATATACCCCAAAGCCATTTTCTAATCATTCACGCCCCACAGATAGGTTTGAGCACTTAGTGTTTCCGCATGCAGCTAGTCCACAAAATTCAAGACTTGCTTATCGGTTTGGCTTTCCAGAGAAGGTGGAAGACGGTTTCAATTTCAACTACCTTTCATGACCAGCACCTGAATCCTCCTGATTTCTAAACCCTGTAATTTCGGAATTAAATCCGAAATCTAAGACAGCCACAAAAACCTTGCACATTCCCTAAACCCTAAACCCTCAACCGTTCTGAGGCCGTTTCCCCCGAGAACACGCCTGGTCGGTCCTTGGATGTCACCGGCGACTCTGCCGCCGCGCGCGCTGCGCGAGCGTTGCAGGAGGTGGGTGGCCCTGACCATGGGTTGAAGGCTTTGGGGTGTTTAGGGGTTTAGGGTTTACTAAGTAGATCCGGTGTATAGGCTTTCTGTGTGTGCATACGTGTATGTATGTATGTGTATATATATATGTATGTGTCTGAACTATGTAAACAATCAGCATTTAAGTTTGTGTGTGTACATACTTTTTTTTTATTATTACATATATGTATATTATACATAATTGCTTATGGTTAGGGGGTAAACATTTACAGACCTCTCCCGCCTGCCATAATGGAAAGGCTAGGCTTCCTTGGCCCTTTGGGCTCAGCCAGGATGCGGGTTTAGACTGGGTTTGGGAGTACCATACTTTATTCGGGTTTAGGGTTTAGGGCAGTTTAGGGAAGCACTTTGTTTTGCACCTCGTCCTGAAAGGAACCATTTCGATGTATAGGGTTTATATGTTTTCTCCTTGGTTACTTCAAAGCCCAGCACAGGCTTGGCAGGGCATGGCATCCTTGAAATGTCAGGATTTGTTGAATCAAGGACCTGAGGAACCTCTGTTCCTAGGTAGGCCTTTGGGATATTTTCGATTTTCCCTTATTGGGCTTAAGAGGACCCTATTTACTAATATTTTTCAGAGGCTTTAAATTGCCAACCAGTGTTCTAGTCGATATGTAGAACATCGGTTGTGCTTGACAGAGATTGCCTGAGATGACCTGAAGCCCTAAACCCTAAACCGTTGCTTCATGCGCCTGTCTTAGGCAAAAGGCCGAAAGACCTGCCTTTTGGTAACTCGGTGTTGGGCCTTTGACTTTAAAGGTTCAGGGGTTTAGGGTTGAGGGTGTCGCATAGGACAATAGTTAATCAGTTAGTAAAGTCCTGACGTATGGAACCGGCCCTGTACCTGCTCGATCCATTTTGCAAGCCCTCGAGACAGCAACCACTTGAGCGAAATACTACCCTGAACCCTAAACTCTAAACCCCCGGAGCCCTAAACCCCCAAACCCTATAAACCCTATATTGGGCTATCTGGGAGAATTCCCCCAATCAAGCGCCCAGGTGGTGCAGGGAGGCACGGCCACCGATCATGCCAAGGTCATTTCCTACAAGGACACTTGGTTTAAGGCTTAGGGTTATGTCAATCTCAGGAGTGCCAAGTCCAGAAAAACCATGATTTCCAGAAATAGGAGAAAAAAAGGAAATAAATAGGACTTAAGGGTTTTTAGGAAATAGGAAAAAATAGGCAAAAAATAGGACCTGCCCGCACTCCCCGCACCACTTTCCACCCTGCGGCCCTGTGCTATTTTCCTATTTTTCCTAGGTTTTTCCTACTTTTCCATGTTGCTCCTATTTTTCTCCTATGTTATTCCTATTTTTCTTCTATTTTTCTCCTATGTTATTCCTATTTTTCTCCTATGTTATTCCTATTTTCTTCCTATTTTTCTCCTATTTTTCTCCTACTTTTAAATGAGAGGAAAAGGGAGGAAAATAGGAGAAACATAGGAAACAAAGGAGAAAAATAGGAATAAAATAGGAGAAAAATAGGCGAAAAATAAGAGAAACATAGGAAAATGTAGGAAAAACCTAAGAAAATAGGAAAATAACACAGGGCCGTAGGGTGGAAAGTGGTGCGGGGACAGTGGGCAGGTCCTATTTTTCTCCTATTTTTCTCTGTATTTCCGAAAAAACCAGGATTCCCATTTTCTTCCTATTTTTATCCTATTTTGAGCCACTTGCGATCTGACTAGAGTTAGCACCAGAGATCGACATAAGCTTAGGGTTTAGGGGGTTTAGGGTTTAGGTTTTAGGGGGTTTAGGGTTAAGGGCTTGGATATTGAAACCGCTTTGGGTTTCAGGGTTCTCTGGGTTTAGCTCTGAATCCTAAGCCCTGCAAGGATTTGGCTCTTCTAAAGTTGATAGGCTTGAAGGATTCGTAGACAGAGCCCTCGAAGGGCATCCTACCAGTATATAGCTCACGATGTAGCTGTTTCATTAGGCCTCCCAGAGGTGCGCTTTTGCTCTTTCTGTTTTGGGGTCTTCTTCTTAGAAGCGGTTAGTACCTTTGCTATTGAGGGGCTACTCGATAACCTAATTCAAGTTGTGTATATATGTATATGTATATGTATATGTATATGTATATGTATATGTATATGTATATGTATATGTATGTGTATGTGTATGTGTATGTGTATGCGTATGTGTATGTTCAGTGTATGTGTATGTGCAAATGTATATGTATATGTATATGTATATGTATATGTATTTGTATGTGTTTTTGCATTTGTATGTTTATGTGTATTCATATTTGTGTCTGCTGGTGTATGGGTGTGTGTGTGTGCATGTTTTAAGGTTGGGGCTCAGTGTGTGGGGTTTGAGTGCACGAATCGTTCTATTCGAGCTTAAGCTGTGCTTCCATGGGTGCACGCAGGTTCCCTAAACCCTAGACCCTACGCCTTCAACCCTAAACCCTAAACCTCAAACCCTAGACCCTAAACCCTAAACCTTAAGCCCTCAACCCTTAAAGCGATGATGTCGGCTTTCGAAGGCTCGAGGTCCATCTCGGGTTTGGAGTGTACACTAAAGTGGTGTTCCTGAAGAAGGAGTTCTTTTGGGCTGCGAGCCTAGACCCTTAACTTTTGAACCCTAAAGCCTCTGCCCTTGAAAGACCTGAAGACCTAAACGACCTAAACCCTTAAGCCTTTGAACCCTCAGACCCTAAACCCTCACGATGCTTAAACGTTTTTTTTTTTGTGTGTGTGCGTGTGTGTGTCAGTGTCAGTGTCAGTGTCAGTGTCAGTGTCAGTGTCAGTGTCAGTGTCAGTGTTAGTGTTAGTGTTAGTGTTAGTGTTAGTGTGTTTTTCTCTGAACCCTTAAATCCTAAATCCTCAAGATACTTGAACGTTTTTTTTGTGTTTCTTTTGAGGGGGGGCGGTGTAGTTTCGGCTGTAGTCTCGAAATGGAACAGACAATCGGACCTAGAAGGCTCTGAAGTAACAAGGGTTAAGTGGCTCAGGGTTTAGGGGTATATGGGTTTAGGGTTTAGGGGTATATGGGTTTAGGGTTTAGGGGTTTAGGGTTTAGGGGTTTAGCGTTTAGCGGCAGAAGGGTTTAGGGTTTAGGGGTATATGGGTTTAGGGTTTGGGGTGTACCTTGTATACGAGCCTTATTTACACAACAACCTGAAACACACCTCCTGTTTGCGGGCCCTTTAGAACACAAACAAGCTAGACACTGTTGCGCAACCTGCGCAATCCTGATTGAGAACAACATCTACTGCACTCTCGCTTACAACATCCCAATCCGCACAAAGCTGAAACCTTACAGCATAGGATTTGAACAAAACTCAAGCGTAAGAGCTCTCCCCTAAACCCTAAACCCGAAGGAGGACGTGTTCCGGCGCATTCGGCTTCAGTTTGGCAGAAGCCAGGAGCAGTACAATGCCTCTCGATCTCCTCTTTATAGGGCTCTCTATGGGTTACTTCAGACCCCCTTTTCTTTCTGCAACAGACAACAAGAGAACGGTGCGATAGTTGCGCGCATTTCCATTGTCAACTGACGTTTCCTGCGCTAGCGTCGCTTGATGGCCTACGCTTCCTGCAGGTGTTTGATGCAGTTGGGGTCGGATGCCCAAGCATCAGACTCTCGTAGCCACAAAGTATGCTAAAGCCGAAGTAATGGTACCTAACTGGTTTCGATCCTCACAAGCACCCCTGCGTGTGTTTGAGCCTAAAGCCTAAAGCCCTAAACCCTAAAACCCTAAATCCTAAACCCTAAACCCTAAACCCTAAACCCTAAACCCTAAAGCCCTAAAGCCCGAAGCCCTGGACTGGACCAAGGCCTCCCTCAGCGAAGGCCCCCTGCGGCTTGTGGGCGAAGAAGAAGCCTCCGGCAAGTCCTGCGCGTTTTTCGTCTTCAGCGAGGATCGGGTTTGGGGTAAGGGGTTTAGGGTTTAGGGTTTAGGGTTTAGGGTTAGGGTTTAGGGTTTAGCGTTTAGCGTTTAGGGTTTTAGGGTTTTAGGGTTTGGGGTTAGGGGGTTTGTCCAAGGCACTTGCCGATTGAGATGTAGGTGGCTAAGACTTTTCATTACTCTGCCGGATTTGGTGGCAGGGGTGGTAGTGGTGCTGCAGCAGCTCCTCCTCCGCCTCCACTCCCGCATTTCTTCTTACGGTTTCTGGAGCTATTTGGCACTACCAAGATCGGAAAAACCAGCAACTACCGTGATTAGCCCACAACCTTCAAACCGCAACCCCTAGCCTGACCCAAAACCCAAAACCCATAGCCTGAAGCTTGAATTCCAATATTTTTGTAAAGGTTTACGGGCTTTACAGGCTGGCACAATGGTTTCTTAGGGTTTTATCAGGACCTGTCAATGCTTTTTAATGTTTAGGGTTTAGGGTTTAGGTAGTGTAGTGTTTGTTTAGACAGGGCTTTGTGGAGTTTTGTTAAGCTTGTATAGCTTTTGAAAACTGTCTCGTAGAGTTCTGTAAGGACTCTATAGGGCTGCAGAATCAACGCAAGAATATAGGAACTATGAGTGGGGGCTATCATCCCTCACTATTCATGCCCCCGTAGGAGTTGTGCCGCAAGTAGGGAGAGCTCCAATCACTAATCACTAAACCTAATTTCCGCATCCTGCCCACCGAGACCCGAATCCTCACAGCATTTATGATCTTAATTCTAACTCTTCAGGTTTAGGGTTTGGGGTTTTCCTGTAGTCTCCATTGTAGTTCCTTTTGGGGGTCATCTTTTAGAATCCTTAATATAGAATTGGTTAAACCAGAAAAGGAACTACACTCGAGACTATAGGCAGGGTCTAAATAGAAAGAGGCCCATACCATGCGATTCACGTATCTTCCTTGCCCCTAAAGCCTCAGCCCTGAACCGTATCCTTCTAGGTAGGCCTTTGGGATATTTTCTAGTTTCCCTTATTGGGCTTAAGAGGACCCTATTTGCTAATATTTTTTCAGAGGCTTTAAAGGGTCAGCCAGCCTTGAATGTAGGTAGTTCTCTAAATTAGTGTCCCTTTTAGGGTCATTTTTAGGTAGTTCTCTAAATTAGTGTCCCTTTTAGGGTCATTTTTATAAGGGTGCCGTACTATATTGGGGACTTAAAAAGGGACCCTAGAGAACTACCCATGTGGAGGATGGGCGATACTGCGTCAAGCGGATCGATGCCAAGGAGGCCAAAACGCGAACTAATCTCTCTGGTTCTTAGTAGGGAATGGGGGAATGGACCCCTATGATAGTCCCTTAAGGTCCCCTATAGTAGTCCCAGGAACCCACTCCTCCATTCCCTACTAAGAACCAGCCAGTAATGTAGACCCGCGATGAAGAAAGACCCTGTGCCTCAGGGCCTAACCCTAAACCCTAAACCCCCTAAGCCCTACACCATAAACCTTTCTAACAAACTAGCATACTAGCATACTATTCGCTATGTTTCAGGGCTTGTAGATTCGGATGCCTTTTTCCTTCAGTGAGATTTCACAGAAGAATTGCACCATACGTGGGTCTGACTAGGTAGCAACATTGCAGCATTCTGTTAGAGCTCCTTCCATAGAGAATATATGTGACTACACTCCCAAAGGCAAAAATGGAGGGTCGAGGAGCATGACTTATGAGGGTTTGGGGCTTAGGGTCTGCGTATTGACTGAACGACGCTCGAAATCCGAACCGTTGTTTGGGCTAGGCCCTAGGTGCAACTCCATGCCCTACACTGCCTTACGGGGGCCATGGGCCCCAAACACTCGCCACCCAAGCCTAAACCCTAAACTCCTAAACCCGGTTTAGGGTTTACGGTATTCGGGTCCCAAGCCCCTAGACCCTAAGCCCTAACCATAAAAAAATTCTTCGAGACCCTGCAGACTGAAACCTGAGCTTCCGTGTCGGAAGGGGATCAAGGCCTGCCAAAGGCCGCCCTACAATTACGGCAATACAGCTGATGATCTAAATCCTGAATGCCCATTATAAGGAATATACCATAATTCCCATAGTTTAGGGTCCTTTAGGTAATGCAGGATTTATATCATCAACAGTAGTAACAATATTACCAGCTAACACTTTACAAGCAGCCGCAACAACAACAACAGCAGCAACAACAACAATGACAGTGATTTCGCTACTGTGCAAAGAATGTCGGTGTTAGAGGTTTACTGGGCTTGACTTGGCCAGAAAGATGGGGTTTAAATTTCTGTCACCTCATAGCCCGCAGAAATCCAAGTTTGAGGCCAAAGCCGAAGCCAAAAGCTGACAGGCCCGGATGCTGCTGAGCACTGTGGACGATTACGAGGCTTTGGGCGCCGAAATTTGATGGTTTGCATGAAGCTTTATAGGGTTCTATGACAGTTCTGTACGGATTCATAAGTTGCAATGTCCGTGGGTGCTGCCGCAATTTGCACAATATTCCCTTTTCAATTGCCTGAAGGCTCTTGGGACTTCGTAAGTAGGTTCATGAAATAGCGTATAGTTAGGACAATGCACTTACGGGACTTATAACCCCAATCGTGATACTACTGATTACATCTCCTGAGCCCTTAAGAAAGCCTTTGTGCGAGAGTCTCTAGTTCTAAGTCATGCTCGCTAAACCCTGAACCTCACCCCTCAAGATCTGACCTTTCGCCACCACGAGACTCGACCGCAAGACCTAAAGGCTTAGAAGCCCAATGCCGGATTATCATCAATGTGCTCATGGTGATAGTAGTAGTAGTAGTAGTAGTAGCAGCAGCAGCAGTAGTAGTAGTAGTAGCAGCAGCAGCAGCAGCAGCAGCAGTAAGTTTAAGAAGAAGAAGAAGAAAAAAAAAAAGTAGCAGCGCTCTGTTAAAAACAACATGATAGCAATAGTGGCAATCGCAGGAGCGGTGGCGATAATCACCAGGATCATTTGTTCTATGCGGATACTATCGAACAGTAAGAACAACACTACAGGCTTTGGGTTTAAGTGACCTGGCGCGATTGTGCATTCTCCGCTGGAGGCTTACATTCATAAGCACACGGGGACGCTGCTGCCGCGATTCTATGGACTTTATGAAGTCCGGCTGTATTCTACCCGTTCGCCAATTTGGCTGATGGTTCAGGGAGACTTGGTGCAGTTGGCGGTTTAGGAATGCATGAGTTGAAGCGATTCAGAGATTGAGGGCGGAGGGTGTTTGATCTGTTTCTATGAGCCCCAGTGTTGCAGGTGTTGTTCGGCTAATGGTAAGCAGGTTATCTCTTTTCCTTGGGTGGCACTTCGAGCACTTGTCTCAACAGATTCTGCCTTGCTTTGCCGCTGTCTTTGTGAGTGTTGGGGTTCGCTGGACAAGGCTGTCAAAGGCAAGCGAGCAAAAGACCTGTAAACCCTAAACCCTACCGTAACCTATCATAACTTACTTTTTGTAGGTTCTTATTATGAACCCAAATATAGACTTTATAGATATTTATAGGGACCCACCAAAAAAGTAGGTTCTGGTCCTGGTAGGTTACGGTAAACCCTCTTTGTTTCAAGCACTGGACCCCTCAACCCAGAATCAGAGCCCCTGAAGCCCGAACAACACATTGGTGACGAAGGTGTCATGTGTTGGGGTTTAGGGTTTAGGGTTTCGCGCTCGAAGTCCCCATAGAAGTTACCTTCAACTACTCTCCTGTCTAGTCTGCACTGATGCATATGTAGCCAAGTTCCCTGAGCCTGCTTCGCATCCTGGCACGAACCGCGACGGCATCGTTTCTCCCGACTGTCATCAATGCAATGCTGTCATGTCCATCGGAAGGGTCGTTCGAAGCTCGGCCCTCAGGCCCCACCCACCCCGCAGCAACAACTGAACTAGACCCTATACACCGCACCCCCCTCTACAAAATGAATATGTAATAATGAGAGAAACAATAATGAGAAGAAGAAGAAGAACAAACTAAACCATAGTGCCGAAACCCTAACCTAAAGACAAATCGCAGCAAGGAAACGCCCTCTAACCCCTAAGCCTTAAGCCCTAAACCTCAAAGCCTAAACCCTAAATAAGCGCTAACGAAACGCCCTCTAAACCCTAAGCCCTAAACCCTAAAGACCCAAAATCCTAAACTCTAAACCCTATAAGCCTAAACTTTAAACCCAAGACACGAAACACGAAACCCTAACCCTCCAACCCTAAAGACCTTAAACCCTAAACCCTAAAAACCCTAAACCCTAAACCCTAAAAGCCCTAAACCCTAAACCCTAGACCCTAAAAGCCCAGAACCCTAGACCCTAGACCCTAAACCCCAAAACCTAAAAACCCTAAACCCCAAACCATAAACCCTCCAACCCTAGCCCTCCAACCCTAAGCCTAAGGCATATATTAGCCCAGAAGCCTTATATAGTATGGGGGCCCAAAAGCCTTAAACTATGAGTCCTTAGAGCCTTAGGCTAAGGAAATGCTCCTTTAAACCCGAAAAACCCTAAAAACCTCAAAAACCCTAAAAGCCCTAAAAACCCCAAAAACCCTTAAAAACCCTAAACCCTAAAACTCCTAAACCCTAAACCCTAAAAACCCTAAAAACCCCAAAAACCGTAAAAACCCTAAAAACCCTAAACCCTTAGCCCCAAGGAAATGCCTTGGGCGGCCGGGCCGAAGTTGTCCAACGCTTCGACCTGAAGGGCTCCACGCACGGGCGCCGGGCCAGCGCCAGGGAGAGGGCCCCTTGGGCTTTGGTGCCTTAGGGTTTTTTTGAGTTTATGTAGGATGTGAGGGTTTTAGAACGGCTTTCAGGGGTTTTTTGTTGTTTTTTTGTGTTTTTACGGCTTCAAGGTTTAAGGTTTAGGGTTTTAGGGTTTATAGGGGTTTATAGGAGTTCAAAAGGTTCAGGGGTTTAGGGTTTAAGGCTTCAGGGCTTTAGCATTTGGGTGTGTAGGGTTTAGGGCTTAGCGGGCAGTTCTGTTTTTGCTAAGGTGTTTTTAAGGTTTTCTTTTTTTGGGGGGGTCCTCATGATCAGGATCCGACTGTCCACAGTTTGAACCCTGTGAACCCTCAACGCTAAATCCTAAGTGAGGGTGACTGGGCGTTCATTCCGGGAGCCCTCTTGGGTTTCTTTGAGGGTTTAGGGTTTACGGGGTGAGAGTTGAGGGCTTTCCGGGGCAGAATCTTCGGAGTGGAGGCTGTGCAGCTGAGGCTTTGAGTTTAGGTTTTGGAGTTGTTGGCATAGACGGTTTAGGGTTTATGATTTAGGGTTTAGGATTTAGGTTTTGGAGTTGTTGGCATAGGGTTTGGGTTCGGCTGGGTCCTTGTTGGATACAAGTTGACATGTTGTTATAATAATAATTGCAAACCCTAAACCCTAAACCCCGATAAGGATTAAACATGCTCATGTTTTGATATGGCCCCAACAGGGAACCAGGAGGGTGACTGGGCTTTTGATAATGTAGGAACCTGATTGAGAAACCCTGGCCCTATAACCCCAACTATATTAGGATTCATATTAAGACCCCTAGTAAAGACCCAGGGTTTCTCAATCAGGTTCCTATATCACGCCCTACACCCTCTAAA